TCTGGTTGCTTCATTTTCCTGTAACAACACGATTACACCAGTCACTCATCTAATACACACGCGCCCAGTGCACAGTTAGGATGAGTGCAGTTATTTTTCCTCCAACGATGGTAACTCCTCGCCACCGATTGCTTGGGTGTCCATGGGGCTGGTGGGTGGATCCCAACAGCTGACTCATCTTGCTGAGCAGGAAGGTGGAAGGGGGGGCGGGGGGGACGGGAGGAGGAAGGGCTCCTGCTGCTCCTCCCCAGGGAAGGTGTTGGGAGCAGGGTGAACTCTGGGGCCTGACTTGGATGAAGGGCCCCAGGGCTGGGAAGACTCCCCTGCGCTGGAAAAATGTGTTTCCAACCGCGGACTTCCCCTGAAGCCTAGTGAAGTGAGGAGATAGCGTTTTATTCCACAGTGGAAATAACAGACTTCAAATGCAATGTAACCGAATGGATCAAGTGAGTTTTAGGATAAACAGTGATGGTAATTTCTCTCGGTGTGCCTTTATATGTTTCTCTTTATTTAACCAGAGGCTTGGGCAGCAGCCCGTGTCACTCACTCTATTTCCCCAAAAGCACATGTGAAATAGGCACGGACTTGCCTGCAGATAGGATTAGATGCTCAGCAGGCCCTGGGAACCTGAAACTGAGGACACTTGCCACAAATCGGCCTCAGGTGCAGTCTAATCATGAAACACAGACTCGGACTGGAAGGCACGAGCTTCTTATTTCAGGGCCTGGACCAGCCTTTACCGGTGCCCTGACTCCGTGAAACAGTGCCCTCCCTGCAGCTGAGATGAGCATCTCTGGAGGGCGTCAGACCTTGGCGGACAAAACCGCCCCCTCCACACTCCTCGCCCACCATGCCTGTCACACACGAAGCAGAAGAGACTATCTGCAATGCACAGGTGAAAATTCGACCTTTCTCTGGGTGTTGGCCCATTTCGCACACATTTCCCTCTCAGCGCCACACACAGGTCTGGGGGAAAACTGCACCTGGGACCCTAGACCCTGGGCAATTCTGAAGAGGCCAGAAACCACACCGCAGAAGCTCCCTCCCAGGTTGGGAACTAGGCTGCTTCTGTGTCGGAGTGACTGGGATGCTCCTGACAAGACTGGAATGTGTCCCTCCTGCTGATGCCATTTCCAGCAGCAAATATTTTGGTGGATGAAGTCGGTGGGTGAGAAAGCAGGGGGCCTTCAGAAAGGGGCTCCTCCCCACTCTGAAGCTGCGGCCGGACCTTGGCAGGAAAGTCACATCCTGTTCCCTGTGGGGTTGGCTTGGAGGGACTCGCCTGTCATCCCAGCCTGTCAACAGGCAGGGAGAGTTGATGTACAGTCTCACTCCTCTGGACTGTGGGGCCCCGGAGTGGGCTATTTAACCTCTGAGTCAACCACGTGCCTTTCCCCAGCTTCCTGTGCTAAGCCAATGGTCCCGGCCAATTCAACAGCAACAGTGATCCCCAGATTGGGGGGCAGGGAAGGAATCTGCTCCATGCAAATCAGCTCCACTGTGACAGAGCAGTGCATTGAGAACAGGGCTGTGGGACTGTCCTGGGGCCCAGAGGGCAGCCAGAGCATCTGGCCCTTTGTGCCCGACGTCCACAGTGGGTGGGCTGAGGTGAGGGGGTTTGTATGGACTGGTGGGGAAGGGTGGGGCCATCTCCCCTGGAGGATGTGACTCCCCAGACTCGGGCGGGCCTGGGCTGTGTTAACCCAGAATCCTTATCTTGCTCCAGCCCCCGAGTGTTCATCCTGGAGTGAAATAGATACGTGACAGGAAGCAGTTAGTCAAAGTGGGTGCAGTCAGCCACAGGTATTGGCGGGCTCTTCTTGGGGCACCGGGGACCCCCTCCTCTTCCCCCTTCTACACCTTGGGAAGAATACAAGTGGAAGAAGGGGAAGGCATTAGCCAGAAAACACGCATGGGGGGAACCCAAAGGCCCAGGAATGTGTTTCTACAAAGCTGTGTGTTTATTCCTCCTCCTTTCAGTTCAGTCACCTTGGAAGCGTCCCCACCTGGTGCAACTCACCTGTGGGGACGTTGTTTCCACTGCGCAAAGCAGGGTTTGCATTTGTTGATTCTGATGCTCTCATTGCTTCTGCCCTTTCTCTTTTGCCTCTTGCACATGATAAAAACATTTCCTTTGAGGACTTTTTTTCATCCAAGGAAATAAGAAATGTCCCGTGGGGCGAGATCTGGTGAATGGGGGGGGAGCACAGGGAACACGCTGCTTTGGGGCAAACACTGCTGAACACTCGGCCGAGGGCAGGTGGGCTCCTCAATCACCCATCGCGAAACGGGCAAGTGCGTTGAAATCGCCCTCAGAAAAGTTTTCTGAAGCTGGATGCAGCCTCTCAAATGCCGCCAGAGGGTGCACAGATCCCCAGGGGTCCCCAGAACACTCACCTGGGGGGGCCGGGACTACAAGAGGCCTGCCCTCCACAAGATGCTTCCAGGATTTTTGGGGAGGTGCTTCCCCTTGAATCCTTAACACGTAGACACAGAACACAGTGTGGTGATAGAGGAAAGGGGATGTGGGGTGCGTAGAGGTGGGGAAAGGAGCGGAAATGGGGACAGAAAGGGACTTTGGAGTGATGGGTACATGATGCCATGTGCAGATGGTATTTTACTGGGTTTATGGTTTGGGAAACCAGTATCACCCCAATGAATTCAATGTAAAGGCATAGAAAATTATTTTGAATAGAAAATAATAAAAATGAGCAGCAGGTATATTCAGTGTTCATGGAAACATTCTCTCAACTGTGCTACATGAACTTTGTAATTTCCCTGACACACTGCTGAGGGAGGAGCTGGGGCGGGAAGAACCCTGTTCTGCTGCTGATAACAGAGACCAGAGGCACCAGGGGCTTCAGCTAAACACGGGCTCAAGTTCCTTTCAGGCGAGATGACTCCAGAGGGCGGTGGTCCAGAGCTGGTCGGGAAGCTCAGAGAGGCATCCACACCCCAGCCTCCTTCTGTCTCCATTCTCTGCCCCCTCAGTGTGTGGCTTCGATCCCCAGGGTGCCTCTTGGTGACAAGATGGCTGCTGAGCTCCAACTCCAGAGATGGTGTCCACCCACGAGGAAGGGGGAAGTGGGAGGAGTGTGAATCTCTCTAGAGAAACACAACCCAACAACTCCCACCTCACACCACCAGCAGCTCAAACTCAGTCCCTCAACCTCTCCCATCAGCAAGGAGGGTGGGAACATGCAGTACCCGTCCCCCCAAAACAGGGTTTGTTCACTAAGAAGAAGCAGGGAACAGACGTGGCACAGGGAGCAGCCGCCTCCACCCCAGAACCTACATTCACACCGATGGAGGGCATCACAGTCCATCAGCCACCTTCACTCTCAGGCCCTGGGAGCTCGACTCACCACCTTGAGACCTAAACACAGTGTCTCTGGAGGCCCCAGACCACAGGTAGACCCTGCTGGCCCCAAAGTCCCCTAACAGACACAGCCTCTCCTGTCCAGCCTCAGAGGACACAGACCCTGCAGGAGAGGAGTGAGCACAGCTGAAAACCCACGTGCAGCTCAGATGCGGCACAGAGGTGAGTGGGCCTTCTCAGCATCGCCCCACATGAACTTCTCTGAGAAACGCGGAACCTGCCCATCGTCCCCTGACAGCGCCGCCCGTGGGAACTGGGAAGAGTGCTGCTGGGAAAGGACCTGAGACCTGAGTGTCCCAGGAGCCAGGTCAGGTGGCGGGGGTCTGCGCCCTCCCTGTCACACCTTCAATGGGCTCTGCTGTCAAAGACGTTAGCAAAGGACCACAGTGACCCTTTACTTCCTGCACCCCTTCCTCTCCTCACACATTGTCATGTGCTAATTTGTCCTTGTTCCTCTGCTAAACACATTGTGATACGAATAACATAAAACAGGTGTGTATAGTGAGATCCTGCTCACACACACCCACACCCAGGAGGGATTCACACAGGTGACCATAGACAGAGACGCAGAGGGTGGGAGTCAGGTCTGGGGCTGGGCTGCACCGCCCCATCCTACAAGGGGTCCCAGTTCATGCCAACTTTGCCCGCTGGTTTCTGCCCAGCAACTGATGAGACCCAGGCTCTGAGCCAATAAGAACACAAGGGCTTGGACAGAAGGGCTCAGCTCTGTTCCCCTTGGTGAGCATGCTTTATTCGTCCCCACACTTTCTTCCAGGTCACAGACTCAACTCTAGTGGAGAACTTTTGAGTGCCATTGCTTTGGGATTTTCCACTGGAGCGTGAAGGTTAATCCAGGGAGCTGGTGAGAGCCGGGGACCCGGGGCCCCTTGGGAGAGAGGCTGAGAAGCCAAGAAGGGGTGTGGTGTTGTGAGCCTGCAGGTGGGACACAGGGGGAGCGTGGAGCAGGGCAGGTAAGGTCTGCACTGGGAAACCTGTGGGAGGGACACAACGGGAACCAGGGAGCTGGACACCTGCCCGTCCCTCGGAACCTCCTGTGGACAGAGAGGAGCAAGGCCCCTCGTTGTCTCTCCTGTGCGTCTCTGGGAGAAGAGACCTTGGCACCAAGCCCAGGATGGCTGCCTGCTGGAAGGAAAGTCCTTCCATTCAAGGGCCTGCCCCACGAGATGATGGGGGGTCTCAGCTCAAAGACCATTTGAACAACTGGACACGGGCAGGGGTTTTGTAATGGGGGGAAGGAAGAAAAAATACACAACGAAGACACAGAAAGGACGGTGTTGAGAGTTCTGTGTCGAGGGGACAAGGGGCAGGCAACACAGTCTGTTCAGGTGACTGGTTGAGGTCAGCAAATCCCCCGGAGCTGAGTGTCTGAGGGTGGACTGAGCTCCTTCTGACGTTAGTGCCTAGAATTCTTAAGCAAACCAGCTGTTTATCTGCAGTCACATGGTGCTGTGTTGGCCAAAACGTTTGTTTGTTTGGTGAATATGTTGTTCAGTCAATTACTGGTGAAAATGAAAATGTTTCTATTCTTACTTAAAACTGAGTGAACCTCTTGACCAACCCTACAGTTGGCAGGTCATCACTTACAGAACCAATGGTGAAGGCGTGGCCTGCTGGGCTGTCAGGTTGTGTCTTAATATTTAGATGGTAAACCCTGGCCTGTGTGGCTCAGTGGGTTGGGGCATCACCCCATACAGGGACAGGTGGTGCCTTTGATTCCTGATCAGAACACAAACCTAGATTGCTGCTTCAATGATTAGATGTGGGTTGGGAAGTCTAGGAGAGGCAACTACTAGAGCTCTCTCTCTCTCTCTCTCTCTCTCTCTCTCTCTCTCTCTCTCATTATGTTACAATATCAATCCTTCCAACCCAGGAGCACAGTGTATCCTTTCACTCACTTGTACCCTTGTCACTTTCTTTCTTCCTTGTCTAATCGTTTTCAGGGTAGAGCTCTTTCAACTCTTTGGTTGAATTTATTCCTACACATGTTATGCTTTTTGATGAAGTGGTAAGTGCAATGTATGATTGTTTTCCTTCTGATTATTCAGTGTTGCTGACAGAAATGCAACAGGTGTCAGGTTTTGTGTCCTGCAACATATGGAGTTCACTTAGTAGTTCTAGTAGTTTATCATTTTGGGGAGTCCTCAGGCTTTTCCATACATTGTGTCACGTGATCTGCATGTAGTGAGAGGTTACCCTCCACCTCTCTGGTTTGTATGCCGTTGGTTTCCTTGTCCGGTCCGACTGCGGGCTGCACCCCCAGTACTGAGCTGAATGGAAGTGGCCAGGAGGGAGGTGAGTGTAGGGTGGTGCTGGTGCTGTGTGAAGCACAGCCTGCAGGGGGCAGTATTGGGAGGGGGCACAGGAGCAGAGGGTCCTGTGATCCTCAGAGGGTGATGCTGGGGGCACCCACCTGGTTGTGGCAGAGAAGTGTGGGCACGTGCAGGGATTCTGGCCATGTTCACACAGGAGGGCCCCGCACTCCCTGATGGAGAGAGTTAAGGAATGTGCGCTACGGTTCCATGTTTCATGAGTGATGTCTATGTTGGATCCAAGGTGAAGAGACTGCCCAGCGGTCATTTGCAGTAGAGACTCTCCAGTCACCAAGGATCTGGGTGGTACCCCTGGTCGGCTCTGCAGAGGCCAGGTCTCCATGTGGAATTCTCCACCTTCTTCCAGGTCGTCATTGCTACCCACTTCCTGCTGGCATCTCTGTCTGCACAGCAGGTAACCATGGTCCTCCCTCTGCCTGCCCTCCCTGTCTGCCTGGCCCTGGTCCAGCTGCTCAGCCCCTGCTCAGGTAGGACCTGCTCTGTGTTTGTGCATCTGAAGCCTTTACCTTTGGGCCCAGTCAGAACCCTGGACTCCCCCCATCCCTGCAAGGCCCGTCCAGACCATTCCTGTGTTAGGACCCAGATCCTGTCTAGGTGTCTCACCTCGCCCTCCCTGCTGGGTCACCCCCTGGTCCTCTGCTCCCAGCCCCCTCTGACAGAGTCCCTCCCCTTCTGATGAGCAGCTCAGTTTGCTGTGGTTGGACCCCGGGAGCCCATCCTGGCCATGGTGGGTGAAGACGCTGAGCTGCCCTGTCACCTGTCCCCGAACATGAGCGCTGAGCACATGGAGCTGATGTGGGTGCGATCCAGCCCCAGGCAGGTAGTGCACACGTATGCACACGGGCAGGAGGACACGCCCGCAGCAGAGTATGGAGGGAGAACTTCGATTTTAAGGGAGGACATCACTGCGGGGAAGGCTGCTCTGCAGATTCGAGATGTCAGAGCCTCTGACAGAGGAACCTACCTCTGTTATTTCCAAGATGGAGATTTCTATGCAACAGCCCAGGTGGAGCTGAAGGTTGCAGGTGAGTCAGGTGTGATCTGTGCTCCTTTCCTGTGGGGTCAAGGGCAGAGGCTCCAAGCCCACCTGAGAGCACTCTGGCTCCTCACCAGCACCTGCCCCCTCTGCCTCCCTCCCTGCTCCTCTGAGGCTCGGGACAGACCCAGGTTGTCCCCCAGGAAGGGCTGGTCCTGCATCCAGTAGAGTCCCTCATGCTGCCCCCCAGGTCTCAGCAGGGAAGTGGAGGTCAGGGACGGGAAGGAGGAGGAGACCCCCCGCAGTGGGAGGCACACAGGTGTCTGGGTTCAGTGTGTCCCAGACAGTGGCCATGGGCCCCAGGTGCCCGCTGCTGTGGGTGCAGGGGGCTGTGCTGCAGGGACTACACCCGTGGTGCCTCTCTCTCCAACCCGAGGCCCCGGGGACACACGTGCAGTTGAACAGGGTGTGTCCATCCCTGAGGCAGTGAGGGGGCCACACAGGTGAGGAAACCGGGGTGTCTCAGAGACAGGGTGTCAGGGAGGAGTTGGTGTGTCCTTTGGGCAGTTAGAGGATTAGGGGGATGTGGAGTCTGGGCTTTGCTCTGGGTTGGATGCTGTCAGGAAGGTGCAGGTGTGTCATTGGTCACTCACAGGCAGGACGGGGGAGGTTGGTCACTGCTGTGGTCTGCACACCTTTCATGCTTCCTCTGTGTGCAGACCCGACTGCTGAGTGGTATTGACCTTGTCCTGACCCGTCCCAGGGACAAAGCACCTTGTCTGAGGTGCTGCCCATGAAAGTGCTCATGTCCAGGTGTCAGGGCTGCCCTTCACTTTCTCCATGTGGCTTCTGTTTGGATGATGCTTTGGGAGCCCAGCAGGTGATGGAAGGTGGGGGTCTTGGCTTTGTCCCTGCAGGGCCTCCTGAGCCAGACACTGTCCCTCCCTGGAGACCACAGCTCCTCTTAGGAAATCCCTCCCAGAGAGAATCTGTTCTTTCAGGTCTTTAACAGGCGACCCCCCACCCCCGCCCCTTGGGTGTTGAGGTCTAGGAACAGGTGGTAACAGCTCAGCTGTTCCGGGCCCTGGGTCCGCTCTGCTCTTTGAAAAAGTCGGCTCCTTGTCACAAACACATCACAGCAACTTCGCTGGGTGGAGAGGCCCAAACAGGTTGCTGACAACAGTAGCATTAATGACAGCAAGACTTTACTGAGGGGACTACATGCAATGCACAGCTTGGTGACAGCAAGACAAGTGCATATCTTCCCCCCACAGGGCAGGGCCGAGGCTCACAGGACAGGAGGGCAGGATAAGGGTGCCGGGGTGTGAGCCGCTTCAGATAAGCAGGAGCCACCTCCACACTTGCCCAGGGTGGGGTGACAGTCTGTTCCTGGAAGCAGCACGGCTGGGGTGTAGGGGAGGGGAGTGTCCAGCAGACTCTAAGGGATTTAGGGGAAGCAGCCTCTGCTCTGGCCCAGGTCCCCCTGGATCCAGCTCAAGGGTCCAGTGAGGGTCAGGCAGTGGTCACTCCACAGGTCAGTCTCTCCTGCACAGCTCACTCTGGGAACAGCTCCTGGTGAATCCCTGCTGGGTGTGCCCCTCCCTGCTGTGGAGACCCTCACCAGTGCACAGGGCTCCCCATGAGTCAGGCTCACTTTCCCTCCCAGGCACTGGGCTCTGATGCCCACATTGAAATGAAGGGTTATGAGGCTGGAGGGATCCATCTGCAGTGCTTGTCTGCTGGCTGGTACCCGCAGCCCCAAATCCAGTGGAGGGAAGCCAGGGAGCAGAGCTGGTCTGCTGAGGCAGAGCCTGAAGCTGCAGACCCCCAGGGTCTTTATGCAGCCTCAGCCTCTGTGATCCTGGGAGGCAGCTCTGGGGAGGGGGTCTCCTGTGTCATCAGAAACCCCCTGCTGGGCCAGGAAAGGTCAGCCATGGTTTCCATAGCAGGTGAGTGCCCTGCCCACTGCCCTGGGCTCCCTGGTGTGTGCTGGGGGAAGGAGGGGTTGTCTGCTGCTGACCTGGGTCTATGCAGGGAACAGAAGGCCCAGAGCAGGGACCTGCTGCTCCTTCCCCATGAAGCTGTTTGTGTCTCAGACACCTTCTGAGCACTTCCCGGGTGCCACACACAGTGCCAGGTAATAGGGGCTGGGGGTGAATGGTCTAGATGAGCAAAGACATGAGAAAAGGAGAAAACTATGCACAAGTCAAATCTTAAAAAAAGGGGTAGTCTCCTTAAAACATAAAACAACCCGGTGGAGAAATGAGCAAAGAGGATGAATCATCAGTTCAGAGAAGGAAATGGCTCTGGAAAGGGTGCAGAATCTCACCGTGAGACTGGCTACAACACAGAAAACAAGGCCGGTGATGGCGGGATTGTGGGGAGACAGTCGCTCTTAGATGCACACTGCAATTATTTGCTATATTTTGGAATATATTTTCACAACTCTGTAGGGGTGATAAAGCATTTGTTATTCAACATACTTAATTATTGGTCCAAACTCCAGCTTCTGGAGTCTGGCAGATCAGCTTGTATTTGTGTGAAAAGTCCCATGTAAAAGGTTATTTCCTGCACCATTGACTGTAACAACACAGTGTCAGAGACGGTACAAGGCCCCCGCTGGGCCGTGTGTGCAGTGGGCGCTGCCCTGTGAGAGCAGACGCAGACCTGCTCCCTGTGCTGAGGTGGGAAGGTCGCCGAGACCCAGGTGAGCAGAGAGAACCACAGGTGGGCCCACCGGTGCAGAGTTCTATTTTCACCATAAACAAGATAAAATAAAAATATAGTAATGTTTTTAAATATAACGAACACTTGTATTGCACTCACTATGTGTCAGGCACTGTGTAACCATTAATTTAATCTCTTACCAATCAGGACACTGGGAACAGATGCTTAAGTCATTAGTTCAAGGTCACGGAGCTGGTCAGGTGGAAGTCCCAGAATTAACCCCCAGGTCATCCAGTCCCAAAGTTCACATTCTTATTCCCCAGGTTAAAATGACTCAGAAGAAGATAACAAATGGCAGAGGGAGGAGCAGTGGAGAGATTTCAATGATTTTGTGTATTTTTTTACATTCAAAATATTCCCATGTGAGAGGCAGTTACTTTGAGACAATGGTGTTGTGTGCCAGTGAAAGTTCTGGGCACTTTGGGGAGAGAACGATTATTTTCAGTGCCCACATACCTTGAGACTCAACTTGGCCATTGGCTGAGGCTAACCCTTCGCAGGCCCCCTTTTCCAGAGTGTGCAGGCCTGGCAGGTGGCCTTCGTGGTGACCCTGGTTATTCTGCTCTTGCCCCTGGTGGGAGTGGTGTTATGCCTGTGGCGACAGAAGAAGAAGATCCAGGCCCTGTCCGAGGAGAAGGAGCGGGAGCGCGCAGAGAAAGAAGCAGCGCAGGTGCAGAAGGAAGCAGCTGAGGCCGAGAAAGAAGCAGCTCAGGCCGAGAAAGAAGCAGCTCAGGCCGAGAAAGAAGCAGCTCAGGCCGAGAAAGAAGCAGCTCAGGCCGAGAAAGCAGCAGCTCAGGCCGAGAAAGAAGCCGCCCAGTGGGAGAAAGAAGCAGCGCAGGCCAAGGAGCAGCTGGAGCGAAGCATGAAAGGTGAGGCCCTGCTGCAAGGTGGTCGCCACCTCCCCACCACAGCCCCCACCCACCACACACGTCCTCTATTCCATCCCCTTCAAAAGACTTTCTCTTTCTGTTTATTTCCAGAGAAGCTGGAGGACAAACTCAGTAAGTGGCGATCCCCGGCCCACAGGTCCTGGGGTCCCTGCATTACAGGAGTCACTGACCCCTCACCTTGTTCCCTGCAGGGTGGAGAATGATCCCATACCTACCACGTGAGTGCTCGGCCCGCTTCCCAGCCTCTCTGCTCGGACATTTCAGCCCCTTTCCTCCCCACTAACTGCCCAGGGGAAGAAATGAGGACACTGATGGGGGACCAGGCAGTGGTGCGTCTCAGTGGGGAAGGGTCTTTGGCCTCCCTCCACCAGGGGGCGCTCGCGCAGGACACTCAGGGAACTAGGGAAGGAGAGTGGGCAGTGGAGGTGACTCAGTGTGGGGGTCCTGCCTTCCCTGATGGTTGCCAGACTCTGTAGCCCACTGACAAGAAAGGCAGAAGGAGAGAAAGGTGTCTCAAGAACAGGGGTGGCCGTGTCAGTTGTCACAGACTTACCATTACTGCTGACAAGATAGTATCTGAAATGTTCTCATTAGGTTGCCCCATTGGTTCCGGAAGTGGGCAGGAAATGATGCAGATGGAGGTGAATGATCCAGCACACAGGTGCACACGTGTGTACACAGGGCAGCGTGTGGGCAGGCCCACCCAGGTCCTGGAGAACGTGGTCTCGTTTATATGACAAAGTCCCCCAGGGGATGTCTGACCGCAGATGGTCCCAAACCCTGAAGACAGGAGGTTTCTCCTTTTCAAGTAAAGGGAGGCTTCTGGTTGGCACAGCAGCGTGGCAGCATCGCTGTTCTCGCTCACTGGCGTCATTACCGGGTAAAATACGGATGACTGAACAGCAGCGCTGTGATTCTGTGACCGTCCATCTGTGACAAAGATGATGCTCAGTGATTAAGGGCAGTGGGGGAGGGGTGAAGGTTGAACTTGCTGGACTGGGAGGATTCGTGAGGGCGCAGGTCAAAGCAGACGGCAGGGGACAGGCACATCAGCGTCATCACGCTGGTGACACTGATGTGCAATTTAAACCTTATGAATTGTTGGTTTCTGGGATTTTTCTTCACTGCACCCCAACCGTGGCTGACAGGGGGCAACTGCAACTCAGAAGCCTCAGCAGGGCTGTGAGGTGACTGCTGCACAGACAGGGACAGGACAGCTGTGCAGTGACCCTGGGACAGCCCGTGCAGGGCGCCTGGGGGTGCTGAGCTGCAGCTGATGGAAAGAGGAGGGGGATTGGGGGAGGGAAAGGGCAGAGGGAGAGGTGGGGAGGGTGGGGGGCACAGAGGAAGATGACAGGGGGGCACAAGGGACAGAAAGGAACCGACTCAGAAATGACAGTTCAGGTGACACTCTGTCTCCATTGCAGGTGAGGAGCGGTCTCAGGCCTATGCAGGTGAGTCTGCTGCTCTCTGGTTTCCTGGCTCCTGTGTGGGAAGCATGTACAGCCTTTCCCTGCTGGGTGAGGAGGGACCACATCCAGCTCAGAGGCTCATTTTCTGTGGCTGAACCACCCCCTCCTGTGTGGACACTCAGAGAGGACCTTCCAGATGCAGTGTCCCCTCATCCTAATGACACACATGCCCACACACAGAACAGCCTGGTCTTCTCCCCACAGCCCCAGGGTTATGGAGGGGAGCCCAGCACTGGGAGAGGTTTCAGCCTGGTCCACAGAGCTGTAGACGAGGAGAGTGGACATTGGAGGAGACTGAGGAGAGGAGAGAGAAGGGGCTCAGTGAGGACAGTGGGTGGGGGAGGACAGAAAGAATGACCTTTCCTTGTCTGTGTCTCCTTCCTTCCAGACTTGAAAATGGCCTTCTTCCAGCCTGGTGAGTGGGTCCCCCTGTGTTTCCAGGACAACCCCCAAGGGCCCCTGCTCCCTCTTCCCTCTCTACATCCTGACTGCGAGAGTCTGGGGGGGCCTGAAATTGTGGTCTCAAAGATGTGCTCACTTGCTGCCCAGAGCCCAGGGACCAGGGACAGGGACTGTCCTGGGGTCCACAGGTCTCTGTGGGAGGAAGAGGCCAGAGGGATGGGGCTGCAGGGAGAGGGAGGGGGTGACCTGACCAAGCTCCTCCTCTCCTGCCACTGTGTGTCCTCCAGTTATGGCGTGTTCCACAGTCACTCCTGCTCTGTGAGGGTTGGGACAAAGACTGAGTGAGGTGATGACTGTGTGTTGGTCAGAACACCCACAGGAAACACACGGCCTGTTGGAAGGTGTTTGTCTGACAGTAATGACCAAGGGGAGAAGGTGTCTTAAGGACTAAAAGCAACATTGGCAACTCCTAGAATAAAACAGCCTGTATTATAAAGTGATTCACTGACAGGGGTCCAGGGTCAGAGAGGACAGAGGACCCCGCAACCTGCTCAGATTATCCACTGACTACACACCCCTCACAGCACTTTTTCACACTGTAACTCGGGCACCAATGACTGACAGGAACAGGGACACAGAATGCACCAGGCAGCACCAGACATTCCTCCCAGTGGTCTAGTGACAGGTGATCCTTTATAATCGACACGATCACCAGTGTGGAGGTGACCTCAGTGCTCCTGTTACTGACAAAAGTGTTCATGGCCATGTGTAAGGAACAGGGACAATCGTCACCTAGAGGCTTTGGTGAGCTGGGCTAAGACAGTGAGGGGGGACAAAGGTCACAACATGAAGAGGTGAAAGAAACCCATGACACAGAGATGGGTCTGGATGTGTTGACAGTGACAGGCTGGGTGGCATTAACGAAAACCAACAGGGACACCTGATCCCCCAGGGCTCACAGCAGTGGGAGCTGTGACCACCCCTGGGCCAAGGGCACAGGGACAGGGAGGCCTCACCGGGGCCTGGAGGAGGCAGCTGGGCTCAGGGAGGGGCCCCTGGGAGGAGGTGCTGTGGCGGGGCATCTCCCTGGGGGACGGGGGTCAGCGCTGAGCCTCCTCTCCTCCCTCCTGCCCGTGTTCAGCCTGTGCCTCCCCTTGGCCAAACCCAACAGTAGCCAGAGTCCAGGGGCCCAGGGACGCTGTCCATGGAGGACTGACTCCTGGGCCAGAGGGGGTGGGGCAGGGGGAGGGGACCCCAGAGCATGGGGAGCCCCCGCCTGGCCCCGAGCACAGAAGGGACGTGGTGTCTGATGTCACACCAGGCACTTCCTCTGCCTGGCCTGGGGCTCAGTGTACCACTCACTTGTCTTATTCCACCTCAGAGATTAGTGTTTTACCCCCATTCACAGACAGGGAATTGAACTCGAGAGATTCTGTAGCTGGTGTCTGTGGAAAGAGAGACTGTGCAGAGAAGGACGTCACCCAGCTCAGGGGGCAGAGCCAGGGCTGACGTTTAATCCACGTGACTGTACAGCACAGGGGGGCACGGACATTTTGGGGCCAAAACAGGAGACAGGAAATTGATGAATCCCAACCCTCCTCACCCTCCTCTTCCTGTCCAGTCACAAGACCCCTGCAGATTCTTTGGCCCTTATGACTGAGGGTCACATCCAGGGTGGGCTGGGGACCCCAGACTGTGGGCCTGGCCTCCTGCCCAGACCCAGGCCCTGAAGGCTGAGGCTCTGAGGTCTGGGCACCATGGCGACCCACGCCCTCTGAACCCCTGCAGTGGACCTGTTCCTGGACCCAGACACGGCGCACCCCGCGCTCTGCCTAGAGGACCAGAGGAGCCTGAAGCAGGCAGAAGCTTGGCAGAACCTGCCAGAAAACCCTGGGAGATTTTATGGCAATGAGTGTGTGCTGGGCCGTGAGAGCTTCACGTCGGGGAGACACTTCTGGGAGGTGGACGTGGGGGACAGGGCGCAGTGGCGTGTTGGGGTGTGTCGGGAGAACGTGAGGAGGAAAAATGGTGATAAAATGGCACCAGCAAATGGATTCTGGACTGTGGGGCTGAACCCTGGGCATGACTACCTGGCTCTCATGGACCCGCAGATGACACTGACCAATGTGAGCCCTCCCGCGAGGGTGGGGGTTTTCCTGGACTATGAGCTGGGGGAGGTCTCGTTCTACAACGCCATCGATGGGTCTCACATCTTCACCTTCCCACCCACCTCCTTCTCTGGGCCCCTGAGGCCTGTTTTCGGGATTTCAACATTTGAGTCCACTCCCTTGACCATTTGCCCAGCGCAGAAAGCAGTGGGAACGTCCATTGTGCCTGACCCAGGCCCTGACCCTTCCCTGGAGACCCTAGTGGACCAGGGCTCAGCTGAAGGGAATGGGGACCCTCAGGCTGAAGAAACATCTCTGCTTCCTGCTGCTCAGCCTGGAGCTGAGGGCCTCCTGAACCACAAAACTTCTCAGTAAGAAGGGACCGAGGATGTAGAGGAGGGGCCAGAGGCCACTTTCTGAACCAGCCTGGGACCTGTGAGCACAGAGCAGACCCAACCTCCTGCCTCACACCTGAAGGGCCTCTGAGAGCAGGACTGTGGGAGGAAGGGGCAGGTGGGCGTCCGTGGAATTTTTGTCACACGGTGGGATCCATGTCCAGACCAGGGACACCCACCGCTGATCACCCACTGAGGTTCCTGTCACCTGTGGGTCCTGAGGAAAGGCCCCTCTTCTTCCTCATCATCATCACTGTGACTGTTCACCATGTGTCTCCTCCCCCCACATGTAGGAGTCATGTCACATGTGTTAAATAAATTTGGAAATACTCAACACTCCTCCACAGAGCTCTTTCTAGATTTAACCTGCACAATGAACTCACCAGGTTCAGTTTAGCTCCTTGGCACTTTGTTTCCAAATCCTGTTGTGTTGGTTGTGCATTGCTGCTGTGATCAATAACCACAGATTTCATGACCTGACACAACACACATCTATGACCCTAGAACTTGGAAGGTCGGAGGTCCAGCATGGCTCTCATTGGGCAGAAGTCAAGGTGCAGCAGGCCGGGTCCCTTCTGGAGGACCCAGGGACCAGTCTGGGTTGCTGGCTCTGGTTGCTGGCAGAGCTGGGTTCCCTGCAGTGACGGGACCCAGGAGGCCCTTCTTGCTGCTGTCAGAAGAGCTGAGACCACTCCAGGCTGGGGACATCTGGGGTCGTTCTCGCAGGGACAGATGTGAGGGTACAAGTCAGGTGAAGGGAACGACATGGTGACAGAGTCCCAGTAGTGGAGTGACTGCTGGCGGGGTCCTTGCTCGTGAGCTCACTGCAGCATCATTGGCATCAGAGGGAATCCGAGGCCTCCAGAGGAAGTGTTCAGGCACAGGTGGGAATGTTATGAATGTGCTTTGGGAAGATTATTCCAGAAGAAATGTACACAATGGCCCAGCTGGGATCTGTGGGACATGGGAAGGAAGCACCGTGTTCATGTGGGGGAGCTGGACCCAACCAGACCATCTCCTGGACAAGGAGGAACACTTTGCTCACTGCCATCGTTGCAGAGCCTGGAGAATGAAACAGGAAAAGTCACCTTAAAAATCAGAGCCCAGATAAACGGACAATTCTGGTTTCATTTTCTGTAGGAGAATTTACTTTGTGAGAATTCCCTCTTCCTTATTTGGGCACCGTTTGTCCCTTCTCAATATCAACCCACATCCAGGGACTGTCACTGTGTGTCCTGTCTGTGCTTCCCTCGAAGCCCTCACCTCCAACCCTGCTCTTCATCTGACCCCCGTCAGAGCTCCCCCAGTGAGAGCAGCCTTTTCTTCAGGGGCAGTTGGTGAAAACAGTTGGGGGCAATGATTTAACTTGCACCTGTCTGAGATGATGTTTAGCAGTTGGAAGTAAAGAGAGGAAAAAACCTGCTTTTGATGGAGGGGGCGTCTCTCTCCAGGTGACAGATAAGCTCCTTTCTACACAAGTGACAACTCAGCCAGTGAAACCTGAAGCAGCCACCCAGGGCAGCTGCGATTTTATTTCTGTATTTTTAGAGAGGGGAAGGGAGGGAGAAAAGGATGGGGAGAAATATCAATGTGTAGTTGCCTCTTGAGCGCCCCCTACTGGGCACCTGGCCCACAACTCAGACATGTGCCTTGACTGGGAATGGAACTGGCAACCCTTTGGTTTGCAGGCCGCCACTCAATCCACTGAGAAACACCAGGCAGGGTGCAAACATTTTCAGTTGTATGCAGGTGGGTAGCTCCTCAGCTCCCTGGGACTCTCAGCTCCAACCCCCCATGGACTCAGAAACTCTGGATGCGCAGAAATGTTGACACTGAGGGCGTCTTGCTGGTGAGGACAGAGGAGAGATGGCGCTTAATTGTCCTCTTCTCAGGGGACCAGCAGGGCTCTTGGATGGTGACCATGAGATTGGCCGACCTCTTCTTCCTCCACAAGTAACTCGAAGGCTCAGGAGTCTATTGCTGGCGATTATAAATACGTTGGTCTGAAAGGGGGAGGGTGCGGGGCACAGGGTCGAGGGCTGGGGGTGGAGACCAGGCATAGTCAGAAGTCTTCTGAGGAGGCTGACATCCCACCACGGTGTCTCATATTTTTGGAGAAAAGGAGATGCCTTCTGACTCTCACATTCCCTGCCTCTCCGTCTCCCCACTCCTCTCCGCCTCCTCCTTCCTCTCTCTCTCTCTCTCTCACACACACACACATACATACCCTCACCCCTGGGTGTTCATCCGTGGAGACCCTCAGCCGGGAGGAGCAGGACTGTGGGTGAGTCCTGCGTTCTCACCCTCAGTGACAGCTCTGAGTTGGGTGGCCTCCAGTTGCACACAAGCTCTCAGAAGGTCCCCAGCAAGACTGAGCCCCAGGTGTGCCCACAACACCCAGGTTGCATCACACTCTCTCTTGGCTCCTCCCAGTCTCATTTGCTCACTTCCCTACAGTGTTTCCTGGGACTGTGTCCCAGATAAATTACTGGCTTCATAGCTGCTTCGGAGTCTGCTTCTGGGGACTCAGACCAAGAGCAGGTCTGATAAGGGAGTAAAAGTGAGGCTATAAAAAGAGGGGACCACGGTGGGTGAGTTCATGTCCCGCTGCTGACATCCCTAAACTCTGCATTCTCATGTTTCCTGGAGCCTGTCCTCTGGAGGGCCATTGTAGCCCTGGCTCTGCCCCACCAGGGCCAGGGAGAGGCTGCCATGGGGCAGAGGCAGGGAGAACTCAGAGCAAGCCAGCCTCCCTGCCCCTGCCTGCCCCTGCCTGCCTCCCCGGGGCTCCCCTTGCTCAATTCACCCTCACTGACTGGCGCCTCTGTTCCCCGTCCACCCCTTTGCTTTATCGAAGGGACCCTCCTCTTCAAAGGCATTTCCAGGGCTAGGACCCACCAGGTCTCCTGCACCGGCCCCAGCGCCCCACCAGGTCCTTCACACCCACTGTCCCCGAACCACCAGCCCCTTCCCCAGGTCCCTGGCTTCCCTGCCTGTCCTGCAGGGACGCACGCAGACCTGGAGTACACAGCACAGAAATGCAGCAGGGCCTTGGAAATTAGGAGGACGATGTCACCATGACAGTGTCCACATGTCTTTGGGTCACATCTGGGTGTCCTTAGGGTGCCAACAGACTGAGCTCAGGAAGAAGCCCCAGAGCACAGAGCCCTGGAGGGGCCTCCCCAGTCCTGTCACTGAGCTTCGTTCAGCCACAGGCAAGAGAGATGATCCCTAAACCCGGGACCTGCGCCCTGTCCGGGGCGTCCCCACAGCCAGGGAGCAGGTGGCTGGGAGGAGGGGGGATGGCACCACCGTCCAAAGGCCTGAGCGGGTGCTGAGGGCCGAGACGAGCAGGTCGTCACCCAGGTTCGGCCCGTGGGCGGGTCTCTCTCTGCCCTGGAATGCAGGGAGGGGAGGAAGGAAGCAGGAGAACACAAGACCCTACAGCTTTTTTGTGACCACGTGAGGGGCCAGGGCTTGGTGCTGGGGCACCGAGCAGATGTGCAGGAATTTTTACGCAAAAAGTGGCAGGATCAGATTTGCTTTGGGGAAGTCGTTCTCCAGGCAGGTAGAGGGAGGTGGGGGGGGAAGAGGGGGTCAGTCCTTTGTGGGCCTCAATGATCATCCCAATTGAAAGGCCGAGGACGAAGTGTGACGGTGAAGGATTTTTGTCACAAATATAAAACAGTTGGACCCTCTTAATGTATACAAAGCACATACAGATTCATAAGAAATAACGACAGACTCTAAGACAAAAGGGGGAGTAGTGAGGGCAGAAATTGGCCTGCGGAGCTCACTTCCAGAATATATTTAATCTTTCATATGCAACGTGACCCACCTCACTCGCCTACAAATGCCCAGTCGGACAAAGCGGTCAGTCTTACGCATCCAGTCAGTGATGAAGGGGAGTCACAGCCGAGGAAGGCGGCGCCCAGGCTGCTGGGGGGTTTGGAAAAGAGCCTCGCGTGCTCCTACCGTTTCCCCACGGGACGAATATGTCTTGGAACTCCTCAGAAAATGTGTTAGAAAGTCATCAAAAAGTGTGGACGAAGAATATGTATAAAGTGCACTATTTACAGAAGCGAGTACCTGCCACGCCCGGCAGCGGTGGGAGATGAAAGACCTACAGTAAGACGTCACGTGGCTGTTCACCACGTTTTGAATTGTGCGAAAACCTTATCAACTCTGTTTTTATATTACTCTGTTTTTAAAAAAAATGTACATGAGGATAAAATAGAGACTGGGAGGAAATATGCCAACATGTGTGTAGAAGTTATTATCAGGTGCTGACGTTATGGGTGATTTCTGCTCTCTAATTTTTTTGGTATTTTTTATTTTTCCGTAAGAATACGAGGTTTAGCCTCCAAGAATGAACTGCGGGCCTGGTTACTGACTCCCAGGGCGGCCGCTGCGGGCCCGGGAGACCGAGTCGCGGGCGCGTTCCCACGGCCCCTGCAGCTCTCGCCCCACACGCGGCGACCGAGCCCCGCGGTGCGCCTGCAGCGTCGCGCTTCGTCCGGATGAATCCCCGGGCGCCTCCCGGAGCGACGTCGTTAATGACAACAGTCCGGTTTTGGAGGGTGAGGGGCTGCGGCCTCTGGGCGCATCCTGGAGTTTTCCGTCCAGGCCGGTAGCGCAGAGGCCGCCCCGGGGCGCCGCAGACGCCCACGCGGCCACACCCCGTCCGGTCCCTCGTGGCGGGACGTCCCTTCCAACATAAATACCTGGGGACGCGCGGGCGGCGCCCGGAGCTCCTCCCGGTCCCCACCCCACCGCCGGGCTTTATTAACCGCGCCCGGCCGCCGCCGGCCTCTCCCGCGCGCCGCGGCCCGGAGTCCCGTCTGCGATCCTCCCAGCCCCGCGCGCGCCTCTCCCGCTGCGCCTCGAGCCGACTCCGCGCAGCCGCTTCCCGCCCGGGCCCTCCGACCTCTCCATCCTCCTGCGCTCGGTTCCCCGGACCCTGCCGCGGCCTCCACCGCTCCGTCGTCCTCTTTAAAGGCAAACACCAACTTACTGTATTTGGAAGAAGAGGTTTTATTTTACTTTATTTTATTTCTTATCACAGTTGTTCTAAGATTTAATTGCACCCCATTAACGGGCACTACGTCTCACCGTCCCCGTCCCCCAAGTCCCCTCGGGGTTTCAGGCCGGTTTTGTTGCGCTACGCGCCCCTGATCGGACTTAGGCAGCGGGACCCGGAGTCCGCACTGGGGGGCGGCGCGGGAGGCCTCCGTGCGAGGACTGGCACCTGCCGAGTGGGGGACCGGGGAGAACAGTGTCCTGAGGACCCGGGTCACCTCCTATCCGTTGTGTCCTAGACTCCAGCGTTGGTGGGAGATGGCAGCTTCCCGCAGCCCCTGCCTGCGCGGGGGGCTGCTCACCCTCCTTCTCCTCCAGCTGCCGGGGCTGCATTCAGGTGCGTCTCCCCTCTGTCGCCCGCTCGCGGAGGCCGCCGCGGGGCCCCAGGGGGACTCCCTCGGGCCGTCCCAGGAATAACGGGAATGGTGGCAGGGGCGTGGGAGCCTGGTTGTGGTCATTGCTCAGCCCCCTGTCCCCATGCTGTGTGACCTGCCCGGTTTTCCGACAGCTCATTTCGACGTGGTCGTGCCCCCGGAGCTCATCGTGGCCGTGGTGGGCGACGACGCGGAGCTGCCCTGCTGCCTGTCCCCGAGCGCGATCGCGAACGTGAGCGCGGCCGGCGCGGAGCTGCGGTGGGTCCGGGAGCGGGAGTCCCCGGCGGTGCTGGTGCACCGGGCCGGGCGCGCGCAGGACGCGGAGCAGATGGCCCGCTACCGGGGCAGAGCCGCGCTGGTGCAAGACGGCCTCACCCAGGGCCGCGTGGCCCTCAGGATCCGCGGGGTCCGGGCCTCGGACGACGGGGAGTACCGGTGCATCTTCAGGCAGGACGACAGCCACGAAGAGGCCAGCGTGCGCCTGAAGGTGGCGGGTGAGCATAGCGGGTGCCTGTCTCCGTGACTTCCGTGCGGTGTCCGTCTTCCCGCGGGTCTGTGTCTTTGCAAACTTTCAGACATTCCCCAAATCCCGCCCAGCGTGGAAGGTGAGCAGGTAGGTGCTGGGGCCGGCAGTGCAGAGAGCCCCGGGAGCTGCGGTTCTTGTAGAAATTTATTCCCGCATCTCCTGCCTTTTCCTCTGGATTTTAGGATAAGCATATCCTCGTTGTATTAATTAAACCCATGTAAGACGCAAGGGCCCCAGGACACTCTTAGTTCTCCAGGTGACCTGATCAGTCCCAGGCCGGAACACCCGCCTGGCGTCTCTGCTTCATCATCAGCAGAGGCTCCGGTGAGCGACCCGTGCACGCTGGAAGCTCCCTGATGGGTTAATACCCAACACCAAGTGCCCGGATTTCCTAGGACCCTAAAGCAGGCTTGCATGTCGACCCAAGGTTTTGCTTTTGTTTCCTTTTTTTTTTTTTGCATCAAGCCCAAATTCAGGCTGTCACTGCAAGGGACATGGTAAACACATGGAAAGCGTGCCCAGGCCTGACTTTCTCACTACCTGGGCAGCAGGCGGGTCTCCTCCTGAGCCGTGTTTCCTCCAGTAAAACCCGGAAACATCTGCCCTACAAGCTTCTGTAAGACCGGAACGCAATGAGACACTGTATGGGAAAAGGGCAACTCTAAAAGCCTTCTCCGCTTGTAAGGTACACTCGTACCTCAGCTGCTCTAAAACGTGTGACTTACAAATACACCGCCCTTCATGCGCGCGTGCAGACAGAGTCTGAAAACCTGGGGTGACATCTGGGTCCCTGTCTCCTAACAGGCTGCACCTGGTTGGTGGCAGCCTCACCTGGAACTCAGTTTCCCTTTTTAGAAAATTACCTTAAACTCGCATTACAAAACCCTAGAGAGTTGATATCATCCAACTGTCTTTGTCGCCTTTCACCAGTGACAGGCACCTTTGAACACCTGCTGAGAGGGGCAGCCTCCGTCATGAGAGACACACACGTTCTGTCATGTACATCCCCACTCGGAACACGGATTTAAGCTGATAGTGATGGACACGTGTTTAAGGACTCTTCTTTGTGGCTCAGTGTTTTTCTGTGCTCTGTGGAAATGTAAGAAAATAATCAGGCTGAAGAGACCAGAAAGACAGGTGTGGATTTATGTTAAGTCATAATGGTTTGAGGGAAATGAGGCTGAAACCATCTGAGAGAATTTCTGAGTCAGCATCGCAGGTAAAGGAGACTCAAAAGCTGTGACCTCAGTGCGAAGGTCCTCCAGCCAGCGCTTTCTCCTCAAGGATATGCCTTCTCTGTTGATTTTTAAAATTTTTTTATTTATTTGTTTTTAGGGAGAGGGGAAGGAAAGGAGAAAAAGAGGAAGAGAAACAGCAATGTGTCATTGCCTCTTATGCACCCTGGCCCACAACCCAAACACATGCCCTGGCAGGGAATTGAACCTGAGACCCAATGGCTCACAGGCCTGTGCTCAGTCCACTGAGCCACACCAGCCAGGGTGCCACCACCTGCCATTGGTCTTGGTATTTCTGCTGACTGGACAGGCACCCCATGTCTTCCCACAAAACCCACATGTCAGCCACCAAATCCCAGCTGGTGACACTCTCTAATGAGGTCATGACATTTCTCTCACTGACACCTCAGTTTCCTTGTGTAATGACAAATGGAGAGAAGTCCCCCCAGTCCCCTGGTGCTTTTCGTTCTTAGACTCTGTCACCCTGTGCCCTGGGCTCCCAGGGCCCGGTGAGGGAGTCAGACCAGCCCCTCTCTCCGCAGCTCTGGGCTCTGACCCTCACATCCACGTGGAAGTTCAAGGAAATGGGGAGACCCGGCTGGAGTGCACCTCGGCGGGGTGGTTCCCAGAGCCCCAGGTGCAGTGGAGAACACCCGGGGGAGAGGCGTTTTCATCCACGTCAGAGTCCAGGGACCCCAGTGCAGAAGGCCTGTTCTCCGTGGCGGCTTCAGTGGTCATCAGGGACACCTCCGTGAGGAATGTGTCCTGCTGTGTCCGGAACGTTCTTCTCGGCCAGGAGAAGGAAGTAGAAACTTCCATTCCAGGTCAGTGACTCCCACACGGGGTTCCGCTTTGACACAGCTTCAGGGCCACGTCACCTGGGACACCTGTGCGGTGTGACTTCATGGCAGAGTGGTCTACTTCCTCCACCTCGAATCCTCCCACCGACTTGAGGGAGCCCCACCCACTCATTGGAAGGGTAAAGATTCTGAAGGCAGGAACTGTGCTTAGACCTGACCGAAATCCCAGAGTTTCTGTCTTAGGGGACACAGCTCAGAGAAGCGTGGTCCCGGGAGGCCTGCCTGATCCCGAGACTGTGTCCTTGAGCAACCACGGAGACTAAGGCCCCCGTCTGCCCTGACCCTGCCTCCTCCGCCAGTCCCCTGCCTCCCTGGAGCAGCCCTTCCTTGCCCTTGGCCATCGAGTCCCCTGCGTTTTGGGCGGAGATAGGGTTTCCTCTTCCTGATTTCCAGTCCCCTTGGCCTGGATCATGCTCTGCTGGTCACTAAGGAGGGGTTTCCATAACAACATAAATTAATCCATCTTTTCTGTATTTCACAGGTTCTGCCCCAAAATGGCTCTTGTTCATCCATCTTCATTCCTCTCTTTTTCTGCTCTTTCCTACCTAAGACCTAATGCATCTTCTAAAAAACCCGAAGGCACTATTTTCTCCATGGGAAGGATGGGAGGGGTTCAGGTCATCTGTCTCGTCTCCCGAGTCCCTTTGGAACCAGAAGAGAAGCTGGACTTGGCCAAAGTTTCTCAACAACTGTCCGTGTTGGGGGCTTGGTTTCAGCTCCCTTTTTCCCAAGACTGACGCCCTGGATTGTGGCCGTGGTCATCATCTTGATAGTCCTAGGACTTCTCACCGCCGGGTCCATCTTTTTCATCTGGAGACTCTACAAGGAAAGATCCAGACAGAGGAACAACGAATTCAGCTCGACAGGTAAGTACATCCTTGAATCCCAGGCGACTTGCCAGGAGTGCTTCTGAGTGAGGTCAGAGCCCAGTCCTTCAGGGTAACTGCCAGTGGAAGCTTTTGACTCTAGAATTCTGAGAGCAGCCTGAAGAAGAGCAGAGGCCTGGGCGCAGGGGGGGTCGAGCGAGTGCTAACAGACAGTGGACCCGGGGTTCGCTGGCTCCGCACCCCAAGGCTGTGTCCCACTTTCCCCCATGTTCCCAGCAATGACTGAAGACCTGAGCCCAAGCCAGTAGGAACTTCCTGCAAATTTCCTAGAAAACGAAACAATCCTTGTTGTTCATTGTGGACACTGGCTCAGTAGTCGGGCCCCAGCGAGCAGTCGTGATCCACAGGCGCGCCTCCCTGCGCCTCCCGCCAGGCCCACCGCGCGGGGTCATTGGGTGCTTCTGTTTGTTTTCCAGAGAAACTCCTGGAAGAGCTCAGTAAGTTTGGACTTCTTGTCATCGCACCCTCGAGATTTCCCCCCTTCTGCATAAAACCTGTCCGTGACTGTCTGTCTCTCGTTGCAGAGTGGAAGAAGGCCACGCTGCACGCAGGTCAGTGGCTGTCAACTTCCTGAGGGCCCCAGGGCACCATTCCCCCAGGGGTCCAAAGTCCCACGTTGCTGGCAAATAAAAGCACCCACCATGTTAGTGAGGAGGATAGAGAGGGGAAGGGTGATGGCCAATGGCAAATGGCCTCCACTTCTTGAGGCACATAGTGGCCCTTGGGAGGTGGCTCGGACACAAGCCCACCGTACACAGGGCACTGGGCGCCGGGGACTGGGATGGAAGAGGGGAGCAGAGACAGCCAGCAGCCTGCCGGCTCCTGGGCGGCTGCCCCCTTCCTTGGAGGAGGAAGGCCAGGTCTCGGAGCCTCGCACTCCCTCATGCGCACACCCACTTCCTCTGGTGTCTAGTCGATGTGACTCTGGACCCAGACACCGCCCACCCCCACCTGTTTCTGTACGAGGATTTCAAGTCAGTGCGGCTGGAAGACGCTCGCCAGAGACTGCCCGAGAAACCAGAGAGATTCGACTCCTGGCCTTGCGTGCTGGGCCGGGAGGCCTTCACCTCGGGGAGGCATTACTGGGAGGTGGAGGTGGGCGACAGGACCGACTGGGCCATCGGGGTGTGTCGGGAGGATGTGGAGAGGAAGGGATTCGACCCCATGACTCCCGAGAACGGGTTCTGGGCTGTGGAGCTGTATGGCAATGGGTACTGGGCCCTCACGCCCTTGCGCACCCCCCTTCCCCTGGCAGGGCCCCCCCGCCAGGTTGGGGTTTTCCTGGACTATGAATCTGGAGATGTCGCCTTCTACAACATGACCGACGGGTCCCTTGTCTACACTTTCTCCGACGCCTCCTTCTCTGGCCCCCTCCGGGCCTTCTTCTGCCTGTGGTCCTGTGGCAAAAAGCCCCTGACCATCCGCCCAATCACTGATGGGCTTGAGGGGGTCATGGTAATTGCTGATGCCACCGACCCTTCCATGGAGACCCCACTGTCCCCGATGGGCGAGGATGCTGCCCCCGGGGACACAGACGTGCCTCATTCTAAAGCAATCCCCACCCACCCCAGCCAAACGACACCTTAAGGATCACGGATCACCGCAGCTGAGAGGTTCCCCTCTGCCCCCTGTCCGCCCCCCCCCCGGGGAGTCTCAGCTGCCAGCTTCCCCCGCTCCCCTGCTTCCTGTCCTGTAGTGATCCTCAGTCAGGAAGGTGGCACTGCTACTGCTGGAAAGGGTGGGGTGTAGGACCTTCCAAATCTGTTTCTTTGCAATGCTCAGGGGCCAGGAAGGTGAGTCTTCAATACTTCTGTTCTCCTGACCCTTGAAGCCAAATCCTAAGGGGGAGGTCTTGAAACAAACTCAAAAGAAAGGTCAGGGATTGAGATTGGGTTAGGTCGTCATGGGGTTGTGCCAGGAACATTCAGATGTCCAGACTAGGGGTGCACAGAGAACTCTCACAGGGTTTGGGAACAGAAGTCCGGGACTGAAACCCCGCACAGAAACCTGGAGGGGACATTGCGGTGGAAGAAAGCCAAGTGGCCCCAGGCCAGTGGTGTGCAGCTGGCCTGCCTCTGCGGGGTTAGGCCTGTATCTCCACGTCCCCGAGCCTGCCACGCAGGGCCGAGGAAACGGCCCTGCTGCTGTGGGGTCTGAGCGGTGAGCAGAGAGGAGGTGCCGGGCCAGGCCCGGGCGTCACCGCAAGCGGGACGGAGCGGCGGGTTTTAGACGGAACCCACGGCTGCGTGCAGAGCTGCCTCTCAGCCCCTGTTTCCCTCTGCACCGGCTCGTCGCTCCCTCCCACGGCGGACGCTCCACCCCCACTCCGTGGGCTCCGTCCGTAGTCTCCACTTCTCTTCCTCCTCACCACGTCGACTCTCCGTGTCAGGCACCTCCAGGACTCATCCCTCAGGGGCACCACCACCGCTTCAGCAGCCACTGTCGCAGCCTGGGGCCCCGGGCCCTCATCCCTGCGTCCTGTTTAACCCCACAAGCACACCCGCAGTCAGCACCAACTGCTGTCTAACAACGCGGCGCCCGGTGCAGCCTTCCCACCTCGGTCCCCTGAATGCAGTGTCTCTGCTCCGTGCAGCTACTCTGACTGCTCCCGCCTGCATTTGCCTTTTCCTTGTACCCCTGGCTTGTCTGGCCAACGGGCCAGAAATTTATCCACACCTCCCACTTCGATTGTATTTTTCCAGCGTTCAGATAGATGTACGTTGCCAGGGCCGTAACCTAATAAATAAGTCTGATTTCTGAAAGCAACGTCTGCACCTTCCTTTCTTTATTCCAACAAGTGGAACTGAAAGAAAAACAGAAAAACCTGCACGGGAAGGCTGCTTGCCAAGCAACGTGGTTCTGTTCACCCAAGACTCATCCCAGACCCAGGGGCCATGGGCCCCTCAGGGCGGGTGGCACAGGGGCGGTCGTCCCATGAGGGTCCAGACACTCAGGGACAGGCCACGGTGCCAGGGGCCCACCCTCAGCCCCGATTGGGTGACTGAGTGGGTGGTGACTCCATTCCCACTATTCGGAAGGTAGTTCCTGGTGAGGCGACTCAGGCCACGTCTCGGAATTTTAACAGTACTTTTTCCAGGAGGAGGAAATGATTGGGAAAGTTTTAATGGTGATGCCTTGTGACTGGGAAACAAACAGATTTGGGTCATCTTGGGTCACTGCTGAAGGTCCTCGCGGTTCAGCGAGATGCCCCATTTCTCCTGCTTTGCCCCGAGGGAGGATCGGGAACAGCTGGTTTCTCAGAAGCTCTGACCTCGCCAACGTTCAACCAGCTCCGTTGCCCAGAGGGACAGACGGTGAGGTTCCAGTGTCCTTTCCTCACCCGCCTCAAACACCGTTCACCCCACACTGCCCCCCATGCCCCCCACCCACACGGGATTCCTGGGAGAAGAACACGGTTTATCCCCGCTTTAAAAGTATTCATTTGTGTTCAAATTGTGCTTTTAGAAAGCCAAAGGGAAACCAAGCCCAAACTCTCTTTAAAATACTTGGGAACCTTGGGCAGTTGCTTTGCTGGTTTAATGTGTGGTGTGTGTCCTGAAATGTGAATGTGAAACCTCACCCAGAATAGACGGGGCTGCCGCAGGGACCCCGCGCAGAGAGGGAAAGAAAACCGGTCGCAGATTTTAATCAGCCGACTCCCCTCCCCTCTCCTTTCCCCTTCAAGGAAACCGGTCACCAGACACAGCTCTGAGCTGGCACCGGCTGCTAGCAAACACCTGGGTCCTTCCTTTCCCCAGCTCTGGCCTGCGGCCTGCGCACCCCCTCCCCCGGGGAGGCCTTATCTGATGAGCTTGGGGGCCCCCCTCGGGCTGGAGCCCAGCGCCAGTACCGGGGGGGGGGGGGCGGGAAGGGGAGTTATCTTGGTAATCCTGGCTTTACTTCTGCATCTTCTGAAGGAGACGGGCCACGTGGCCAAACGCTTTGCCAGAGCCTGTCTTCCTCACCTGAGGCAGAACCAGTGATGCTGTGATTTCAGGAACCTTCCAGGTGTGTGCACAGAAGCTGCTGGAGGGAAGCCAGGCGCCCTGTTTACTAGACAGAAAAACGGTTCATCCTTTTGTTTTCTTCTTAAACTATGGATTGCAGTGTAGTATCCATTCAGAAAAGTGCAGCAGGCTTTAGTGCACAGCCGGATAAACTCAGAACAAGCCGCAGGCCCCGGGCCCCTTGCACTTGGTGGAGTTTGGGGTCGGACCCGGCGCTTTGCAGGGGGCGCTGCGCCTCCCCGACAGCGCCTCTCGCAGGTCGCTCCTGAGCTGGAACCGCCCGCCGCCGGGGGGGGGGGGGGGGGCGGGCCCTGGGGACTTTCTGGGGAACGACGCTGCTAGTGGCTTCACTTTGGGGACTTGGCCTGTCGCTCCGCCCGGTTCCTTTCGTGCCTGCGGAAAAACTCATGTGTGGCACGAAAATGGAAGAACAGGAAGGATGGAAGTTTTCTCCAAACGAGCTCCTCATCTTCGTACCCTGTTTTTGTAAATAATAACCATGGTCGGACCCGCGTAAAACGTTAGTGTGAAACTCGTGGGGACAAGCCACTCACAGGGTTTCACTTGGATCACCCACTCCCGCCGCTGAAAGGGGAAAAGCCACAAAAAGGCCCCGCTGGGATTCGAACCCAGGATCTCCTGTTTACTAGACAGGCGCTTTAACCAGCTAAGCCACGGAGCCGGCACGCCGGCTCCTGTCCAAATCGATGAGCAAAGAGGAGGACGGCGGCTGTTGCTCGCCGGGCTGGTTTCTTTTTCCCTCCACGAGAGGCAGGAGCAGCCCAGAAGAAGCCTCCCCAGACTCTCGCCCCAACAGACACAAGAAACCGCGCAGCTGTAGGCAAACAGCCGCCTTGGCGCAGGGCGGGCAGGGGAAGAGACGACCAGCCACACTCAGACGGAGACCCGCCTCCGGGTCGTGCGACACCGGGACACTCCTAGCACCTAGAACTGGGCCGTGAGGGAAGCAGGCTCTATATTCTCGATTTCACAGTGTTGAATTAAAATTCCAGCCGTTCCTTACCGCGAGTCTTTACGTGTATTTGGTTTCGAATGCCTGCTTCTAGCTTACCCTGTCAACCGGTGCAATCCCAGAGTTGCACCTTGAACAGCCAAAGCTTGCCAATTAAAACCCAGTCTTGGAGAGAAATGAAAGAGCAATCCCCTCTCCTCTGCAGCTCCGGAGGGAGACACACTTTCTTGTCCTCAAACCTGTCCAAGGGATCTGTTTTTAATGAGGTATCACATTGAGAGCTTTCACAAGAATTTTAATTTGTTATGGGGGCTTCTGTGAGTATTTGTAACTGTTCCCGATTCATTCTATGCTCTGTAAAGTAAACCTGTCTTTGGGATATAGTTTAAACAAATGGCTTTAGTGAAACTCAGAAGAGTTTACAACTTGGCGCCAGAGCTGTGAAAGTATGTTCCCTAACGAGGCCTGTAATTACGATTGCCTGTCTTGCTTCACATCTGTTGTTACGGTGATAACGCTGAAATCAACTGTACCAATATTTGATGGATTTCTCTGAAGCACGATAAGGCACTTACTTCTGCCTACCTACATGAGTGGGGGCTGCATGATTCTGTTGGGTTTATTTTTGTTAAAATTTGGAAGTCAGTGAACTCAACACACAGTTGGACGGAAATGCCATGAAATAAGCACCTATTTCTTTAATATTATAAGATGAGCCGTCATATCATCAACGTGCTTGGTGCCACTACGGCTTTGGCCAAACTGTGGCAGACTTTCAGAAAGTCAGCAGAGCCTGCTGTACCTGGTCTGCGTTTTTCCTTTGACTGGCAGCTGTCGAAATTGGCCCTGAAATTCTGGGAAGTCAAAGTTCTTTAACAAGCCCGAGGCAAGTCCTGGAAGAAAGTTGAGAGTTAGAACAAACACTTCCAGAAATCCGGGCATGAACACTATCTTCTACTCAGTTCCCAGTGTGGCCGTGAAGGACCACGGAAAGGCCCCTCAGGCTGGCTTCGATCCACACCACTAAGATCGGAGAAGATACCGTCTCTGAGTCACAGGGGCTGATCCGCACCCCTGACATCGGAGAAGACAGCATCTCTGAGTCACAGGGGCTGACAGCAAAGTAAATCGTGGGAGTGGCTGAGAGTGCCATTTTCCCATCCACATGGGCAAGAAACTGAAAATGGAGTTCATGAACTTGGATAGGAAAATATAATTTTGACTACTTAACGCTGAAATTTTGTGTTTTCTTCCATTATGAATATAGGCAACAAATCACAGCTGTATTTTAGCAGTTTTGACTTTATCTTGGAAATCACAAATATTTTCTTCCAAATTTGACAAGTCCCCAATTTCTTAAAATATCATTATGCTTATTACTGCTTTGAAATTTCAGTATTTATCAGACATCCTGCTGATATTGTCATTTATGCATTAATAAAGGAGCACAAATATTACCGTACCATAGATTTTTAATGTTTTAAGAGCATATCTCAATATAATTGGTTTCCTTCTGAAATCTTATGGATTTATCTTTTTATGTATAGTTAAAACTATTTTTCCAGGATGGAGTTCATAACCACCATAACTGCCCTTCGGGACAGAACAAAACCTGGACAGACGGCTCCTGTGCTGTGCTCCAGAGAAGAAACCTTGGTCCACCTTAGTAGGAGCAGGAACATGGGTATTTTTCACAAGGACTGTGGCGACCTCGGCAACTGAAGACAAGTATTCTCTGATCTCAGTGTATTCCTTCTCGGTGTCAGGCAGATCTCCCCCCTCTGTTTAGTCCCCCTCACGTGATTCACGGTGCTCACGGGGCCTGGGGATAACGCTTCCTCCTCAGAAACGTGGAGAGGCTGAAATGCACACACGAGAAACACTTCTGGGTTTCCTGGGCAAGTAAACAAGCGAGCATTCATGTGCCCGCCATCTGTTTTCCAAGGTGTCCTGTTCTGAGATGTAGGTCTCAGGCAGAGAGGGTGCTTAGTGCAGTCTTGCTTAGTAAGTTTTAAAAAATAACTTCTCTTAACGACCCGAGAAGAGACAAGAAAGAAAGTCAGATCGTGCAACTCTACAATGGCTTCCAGTTTCCTAGAGTAGCAGCCAAAGTCCTTACAAAGGCCTGCGAGGCCCAGGCCCTGGCCCAGGGCTGCCGCCCCTGTCCACTCAGCACTGGCCCCTCACGTTACTGGACTGGCCTAAGCTGCCTCCCACGTTCAGACCTTTCCCTGAGGATCAACCCGCTCCCAGATATCAGCATTTGTCTGGCCTTCCACACCTTCTCTGCCTGGCTTTTCTATATTTCTCCACGAAGTTTTGCTTTGTTTTTCTCCAAGCGCTCACCAGCATTATTTTACTTATCGAACCGTGAATATGGGTCAGATGATGCAGGAGGGAGGGAAGGAGGTGATGCTGAGGTGAAGAGGGGCTGGGCTGCCTCCTCTGCCGAGAAAGGAACCCCAGCCTAAACAATCGCAACCTGTAGCGGATTTTTATGAGTTTGAGATAAACTGACATACAGGGAAGCAAGATCTCAAATGCTCTGGAGAATGAGAGTTTTATAGCTTGTCAGCATTTGGAATAAGGGAGAGAAGGTGGTAGAAAACGACGAACAAGAGTTAACAGGACCGTGTGGTCCCTGGAGGTTGGTTTCGCCTCGAGGCCCCTGGGGGAGAGAATTACTTCTGGAGTTTCAGATGAGTGTAAACCTAGAAGCACAAGGACAATGTACAATGTTTGCTAAGGCGAAAATATCCTTTTACTAAAGAATCATAGACCGGGCGTGACTTCCCACCACGACCCGCCCAGTTAGGGGCTTGTGTTCAGACCACCTCCTAAGGTTACTTTCGGTCACCGAGCCCTTTTTTTTCGTTCACAGGGCCCAGGGGCTGGTGTGAACGGGAGAAGAGGCGCAGGTCTGCCAGGGCCGCGGACCCGGGACATGCGGAGACCCCGTTTCCAGGGGGATCGCAGATTCGGCGGGGAAAGGGCCGCGCCGTCTGGCCTCCGACGGACACGCCCGCCGTCTGGTTTCTGATGAAGAAAACGCCTCGCCGACGGAACCTCGCGTGGGCCAGTGGCGCAATGGATAACGCGTCTGACTACGGATCAGAAGATTCCAGGTTCGACTCCTGGCTGGCTCGATGGCACGGTTTCATTTTTTTACTTCCTCCTCTGCGGACCAGGGAGGAGATCGCGGGGGAGGCTCGTCGCGCAGCAGACACTGCGCCGTCCCCGCGGCGCGCCCGCAGCCGTGCACCGGGGCGGAAGGCGGCGGGGGCGAAGGAACCTCAGCCAGAGGGGAAGCAGTTAAGATGTGGAGATTCTGGCTGAGGGGTTCCGGTAATAATGAAGGGTCGGTCGTAAAGATCGAAGCCTCTGTTCTATTTTCTCCAATCCGGTCATTTCCGGTGTGAGCCCTCCCACGGGGAGCAGGGTGGGAGCGGAACGAAGGTGGTGGACGTGCGCAGGCGCACAGGGGAGCCTGGTGCGCTAGGCAACGGGGGCGGAGTCAGTGGGGTGAAGAGTGAGATCCGGGAGAGGTTTTTCCCAGCGTTTCCGTAGTGTAGTGGTTATCACGTTCGCCTCACACGCGAAAGGTCCCCGGTTCGAAACCGGGCGGAAACAATAGCAAGTACTTTTCCTCCCCCACTAAAGGATGAATTTCCTAAAAAACTATTTCGCCTGAATTTTACACTTTCACGCCCTCATAAACACCTGCGCCCTCTTCCTGTCTTGCACACCCGGAGCCGGGCGGTCGCGGGAGGGGAGACGCGGCCCCGGAAGCGCATCCCCAGCCCGCGGGCCTCCTGCGCGCGGATCCGCGGTCGCCGCCCCGCGAGGGCACGGCCTGGACCCTCGGTGAATGCGGGGCCCCCGGGCGCCTGCGGTCGGGGCTCGGGACGGCGGGGCGGGCGGCGCCTCGGTCTCGGGGCGGAGGCGCCCCCTGTGGCCCGCCCCCGAGGGGACACGACGGGCCCAGGCTGTCTCCCCTCGGTCTGCGCTCCCCGCAGGGGCGGGAAGACCCCGAAGTTAAGAGACGGACCGGCTGCCGCGCCTGTTTCCGGCAGGACCGCGCCCTGCTCGGCCTTGACCTGTCGGCACCGCCCGGCGGCCGCGGCGACGGGATCGTCAAACGCGTTCCTGCGACACAGGTGTCGCTATTGCAGCTGTCGGGCTCGGGGCCCCTTTCCTTAGACGCGGTATCTTCACCGCTGTCGTTTCCACCCCCGTTTCTAAGGGTCAGAAGCAGTCGCTCAGATCTGGTGTGAGCGGGACGCTGGTGGCGTGTTTGTGGCGACGAGGGCAGGGCCCTCCTTCCCTAAAGACCCGTTTTCTGTGTTTAACCAGGCTGCTGGGCTCCGTGGCCGTGCCGTCCGCACGCCTTAGACCCGCGTTTTTCACCTCGCCGGGTCCCTCGTTAGGCAGACAGTAAGCTGGGGCCTGCGCGCAGTTCGCGTTTGTCTACGACAGTTTTGTTCGCAGCCCCGCTCAGGGCCCCGGCCGGGCGGGGATGGGCCCGCCCGCCTCTCTCGCGTGTCGGAGCAGAGCGGTGCGCCAGCTGGGAAGGCGGGTGCACGTGGCGGCAGCTTGTTCCACGCCCGCGGCTCAGCGCACGTGCGACCCCGCCCCGCCCCGCCTTCCTTGCGGCCCCATCTCCCGTGTGTGGTAAGCCCCGTGAGCGCCCAGCGGCCGCCCACACAGAAGGAACCCAAGTCCGGCGTGCTGGCTAGAGTTTAACAGGAAACTTACTGCAGAAGCGCGGTCCCGGGCGGCAGCACAGAGGGGTCTCCTCGTCCACCCCCAGACGTGCGGTTTCGTGGATGAACCGCGGGTCTGCGCGCCCCGAGAGCAACGTGGGCGACCCGAGGGGCCCGCGCCGGCGGTGAGTCGAGCTTCTCGGGAACTCGTCCAGGCGCAGCTCCAGAGAGAGCCCCCCGGATTCTGTGACTACGCAGCGCCCTCTCGTGCGCCCCAGGACCTGGAGATTAGCGTCAGCGCAGGGTCGCTTGGGCTCCCTAACCGCCCAAATAGGAACTCAGAGTGCGGCCTCGCCTGACATTTCCTTTGAACACTAGGGGACTCACTGACACCATGTAACCTCCTGCCCTCCTTGGTCATTCCGAGGCCTTCTTGGAAATAAAATGATTTTTTTATCCAAAGGCTCTTTTCCATTATTTGTGTATCTGTCTCCTACAGAGAGATAATGTATCCACAAATAATGTATGTCTAGGGTCTCTGGAAAGTTAGCAGTCACCTGATCTCCTGATAAGTTCCCTAAAGATGAGTTTCAACAAACCAGTCACTTTTCATATACTCAGATACAGCATCTAGCCAGTGGCCTGTTTGCCTTGAACTTCTCTTGTCACCTGCTCTGCTTTAATGGTTGTGGCTCACTGTTGAGAAGGGAATCTAACATGAAGAACGCCAAACCAAGAACGGGCTGTGAGCATTTCCATACCAGGGATGGGTGGCAAACACGTTTGGAGCAAGCTGGAAGGAGAATGTACACAGTGCTGTAAAACAAAAGCTCACTCTTTGGTTTATGGATTGTGATGAAGAAGACACCTACTAAGAAGGGCCCCCGGCAGCAAACTTAGCTAAAATTTTAAGTAAAAGAAAGGAGGAAGGAAAAAGAGAAAAGGAAAGGAAAAAAAGGAAAGAACCTAGCAGCCATTTCTGCACAGGTACCTCTCACTTTTCCCCTTGTTGCACAGCTTGCCTCTGGCAGCCGACACGTTTCCACCACCTGAGCCGTCTTTATAAAGGAGTTCCTAGAATCCTATTTCAACCACTAGGACTCAGGCTTTCTGCATCCAATCAGCACCTTTATTCTGACCAAGAACAGTGTCTTGAACCAATCAAAATACAAAAATTTAAAGTCTTCATTTGCATGAGGACAGACCAGTCAGGAACTAGGAATGGGGACTTCTGTCCTCACAAGCCAGCTCTGCTTTGGCTCGGAGTAGAGTTTCCCTTTCCGCTGAGGTTTGAGTTTTGCAAAGCTGAGACGCCACCAGGTGAGCAGACCGTGAAGGAGCTGAGCTGAGTCGGGAGCACAGTGAGGGGAGAGCATGGAGGGCCCAGCCAATTCCACATGAGCTTTTCGGTAAAATCAGTGCAACGTGAGAACAGAACTGTTTCTCCTCAACCCTGAGCCCTGTTCCCAGAGTTCCTCACAAGGCGCCAAAGGAAATCTTGACGTACTCAAGGCACGCCCCGCTTTGGTCCGTCCCTCTCTGTACAGATCTTGTCTCTCCCTCTACAAGAAGGAGGGAAAATACAATTTTTCCAAAAGTTCTTGTTCAATTACAAATATGGGGGAGAAAAATAGATTATTTGATGTTTTAGTGCCATTTCTGGTGGTTGCTTTTGTTGACCAAGGAACATAAAAATTAAATGTAACTTTTTTCAAAAACACCATGTTTGTTCACTATATCTAGGTGGTGAGGTCAGCAAACCCCTCTTCCAAAACACACACACACACAACATTCTGGAGCAATTCAGAGATGAAATTTTTCCAATTTGATAGGTGTAAAATGTATCCTACCATATCAGAATGCATTCTCCCATGTTACTAATGACACTTAGAATATTTTTATGTACTTACTACTCCTGCTTCTTCTAAGAAGTGCTTAACACTTTGCCTGTGGTTTTTAATTCTCATTTTGTCCTTTCCTCGTGGATCTGCAGGAATTCTTTATATATTCCGGATTTGTAGTCCTTCATCAGTTATATGTGTGACAAATACCTTTGCTCAACTTTTAACTTATTTTTTACATTTTATGCTATATTTTTGATATATACAACTTATTAATATTTAAAATTACTTATTTATTTTTATAGAGGGGGAGGGCGAAAGAGAGGGAGCAAAACATCAATTATGGTTGACTCTCAGGTACCCCCTACTGAGGACCTGGCTCACAACCCAGGCATGTGCCCTGACTGGGAATTGAACTGGCCACCCATTGGTTCTCAGGCCGGCACTCAATCCACTGAACCACATCAGCCAAGGGCCAAGTTATTCATTTTAATATAGTCAAATGTGAATTTTGTCCGTCTTTCCCTTTATGGTTTACACTTTCTGTGTCTTGCTAAACTCTAGGAGCAGTGTAAGGAAGACAGAAGAACCGCCTGGACTAGCAGAGCCACCGGCGGAGCACTGCGGCCGCCATGCCCAAGAGGAAGGCAAAAGGAGACGCCAAAGGTGACAAAGTGAAAGGGAAGGACGAGCCGCAGAGAAGGTCGTCCCAGCTGTCTGCTAAGCCTGCTCCTCCGAAAGCAGAGCCTAGGCCTAAAAAGGCCCCTGCACAGAAGGGGGAGAAGCTGCCCAAAGGAAAAGAGGGGGAAGCAGGTGGTGGCAAGGGTGGTACCAACCCTGGGAAAATCCGAGATGCCGCTGCATCCCAGTCGCAGAGAGCAGAAGGCACCGGGACAAGTGAAGCGGATGTTTTAAATAGCTTTGTACTTTTAATGACTTCACCATTTGAAATGCTCTTTTTTTAAATGTTTCATTAAAATGTAGGGTTTTTTAAAAGTTACATTGTTTGCACACAAGACACTCTGTCGCTGTCTCTTGTGGAAACGGCAAATGTCACTAACAGAGTGGGAGCTGGATTGAAGTCGGGGGAAGTGGGATTTTCTATCCTTGATTTTGAAGGTTATTCTTGGTTCCATGCACAGGTCAGCCACTTTGGCTCAAAAGCCTTAGAGTGCAGGGAAGCCAAACGTCCTGTCTTCTTTCCCGGTGCCATCAGCATGGACCTGGCTTTCCTGAAACAAGACCCGTGAAGTGGCCTTGGCACTCCTGCAACCGGCGGTATGGGGTAGCGTGTTCGGGATTTCTGGCGGGGACATCGAGATGGTGTTGCTCAAAAGATCCAAGAATTCTGTCTGTAGTTTGTGGATCATCTCACTGAGAATCCTGCAGATTTCAGGTTCTTTGTCTAGGTCAGAGCTGACCTGTGAAAATCTGTTATGTGCCTCATACAAAATGTTTGTCCCTTGTGAAACATCTGTTCAAAACAGCAACGGAAGAGTTTGTTGACTTTTGAGGGGATTTTGGAAGTTGTAAAATTTTATAAATTGTTACTCAGATTTTGCTGCAAGTAACTGCTTTTGTTTTTCTAAGTATATGAAAAAGTTGGATACAAATTGGCAGTGGGAGGGGATCATTTCCTACCCAAACTCACATTTCTTACAGCCTTGTGAACGTTGCAGTTTTTTCACATTTTTCATCTTTCCTGAACTGACTTGTGAAATGCATGATAGAAGTTCAACATCGTATTTTTTCCATAGGGATGCTTGTCCTGGCACCATTTTTTTTCCCCCAAAAGTTTATCTATCCCTCAATTTGTGGCACTGGCTCTGTCATAAATCAAGTTTCTGTGTGTGGGGGTGTGGTTCTATTCTGACTCACCAGGCAGGCACTTTGCCCAACCCTGGGCAGTGCTACACAGTCCTGGGTACTACAAGTTTAGAAACTGACCTTGATATCTCAGGACAAACCCAACTTCCACCCCCAACACCTCCACCAACGTTTTCTTCCTCAGGAGTATTTGGCCATGCTTAGCTAGACTGACAAGTTATTAATCAAACCAAAACAAGAAAGTGTTGGAATTTTATTGGGTTTGTACTAAATTTATAAATTGCAAAGTTAAGTCTTTCAATCTATGAGCACATTTATTTAGGATCTTTAAATGTCTTTCAATGAAATTTTATAATTTTCTCCATGTCTTATTTTATTAATATTTCTTAGGGACTTTACATGTACTTCTTTATTCTATTTCATACAGTGTATTTGTAGTTACTACATTTTTCTGTTTTTAGTTAAAGTTGATTTTTGTACCCAGCAACCTTGCTGAATTCTCATTCATTTTTATATTTGTATATCTTGTGGGTGTTCTACATAGACAGCCATAGATGCTGTACACGCAAACGATTTTGTTTCTTCAGCACCTTATACCATCTTTGCTTTTTCTAATGCTGGATTTTGTCGGAGTGCCCAGGGAGAGGGGAGAGGATACAGCAAACCAACCCTCTGCTTTCAGCAAGCTTATGTTCTAGTGGGGGTGGGTGAGGTAGAAACACACACACTTATGGGACAGGGGCACTTAAGTAAAAAAAAAGTGTAAGTCGGTACTACTTAAAGAGGGTGGTTAGGTGGTATTTCCATAGAGCACTTAGTGAAGTAGGGGAACGAGAGATGTGCCTGAAGGGGATGCGTTCTAGCCGAGAGAATAGAAAATGCAGAGGTGGGTGGAACTAGACACGCTGAGGAAGAACTAGGAGGCACCAGTGGCTGAACTGGATGGAGTGAGGGCCAGAGTGAGAGTTCGCGTGACTGCAGAGATGAGCAGGGCTGGAACACGGTGCCTCTCCAAGCTGTAGTTTCTCTCGGAGGTGGGATGTCTTCAGGACTTTGAACAGACAAGTGACAGTCTAACGGGTGTGTGTGGCTGAGGCACTGGCTATAGGCTGTAAGCAGGGAGCAGTGACAGGAGGAAGACCAGCAGAAGACTGTCACAACTGAACTGCCGGAAACCCTACTTCACTGCTCCGTGTCACCATCCTTCTGCTCCACGATGCCCATCCCATTCTTTCCTATGGACAAACATTTCTGTGCTTTTTTTGCCAAACAGATCAGGATTAAAGTCCTAAGTCAAGTGATAGATATTCTCAAAGTCCAAAGTCAAGTGATAGATACCACCACGTGAACGTGCGCTTCCTGTTGTGAATGCACAGCAGGCCTAACTCGGAGGCCGGTCATTGTCACTGACGGGTTTTAGGGAGGGCTTCCGGGGGGCATTCTGACCCAAACTGCAAAAGGAAAACAAACAGAAGGAGGTCGAGCAAGGAGTGGGGAAAAGGCTTCTTGTAAAGGTACTAACACTTGCAAGGATGTGAACATGCTGCACAGATGTTGTTTAATAAATTGTTAAGTCAAAAATTAAAATGCACAAGCAAGTTGTATTAGTTTTACAGTATTTCTTGAGTCTGCCAAAGACTGTCTGCCCAATGATTTACACGCATGACTTTATTTCCATGACTATGAATTCAGTATTACTATTCCCCTTTCACTTCAAATACATGTAGTAAAAACATCCTACAAGTTAAACAGTGGTCATTTCCAATGACAAACTCCAGGAGGAAAATGGGCATGGAATTCACAGCCTCGGCGCGTCCCCAGCAACACGAGGTCAGAAGGTCAGTGTCCGTGCACTCCTGAAGCGGGAAAGGGCAACTTAAGAAACCTAACTCAGCCTTTATACGTGCTCGCCCACCTTTCCGATCCACCACTCTCAGTAACGAAATCCATTACCCTCAAAACCGAGGCCTTGGTCCTGGAAGGGCCGGGAGGAAGACGAGGGGCATAGTCCCCCGCAGCAGCCTTCGTCTCCTCGTTCCGATCCCCACTGTGCTCACAGCGATCCCGTAAAACAGACAGCACACCCCTCCAACGGCTCCCCGGCCTGGTCACACCAGGGACGTAGGAAAGTACACCGGAAGTTTGGAAGGATACGCCGCGCTGCGCTGACGCACTTCCGGTCTCCTCTGGGCTGTTGCGGGGGGCGGGGGCGGCCGTCTCCTTGGTGACCCGCGCGCCGCGGGACTGGATTGCGCGCAGCTGCCCAGGCCGTGGGAAGGTTGTGATCCTGAAGTTCCCTCCCCGGGTTACTCCGGCCTCTCGCACACCTGGCTGGGGCTTCGGTGGCGGGCTCTAACCCCACGTCCGTTTTAGAGAAAATCGGGCGAAAGGGGCTGCCAGCAACCGGGAGTTTGCCTCGGGGCGGGGCATGGAGCCCTTCGCTAGATTACAGTTTAAAAAGCAACAAAAATCAAGACATAGGTAACAAAGAAAACCAATTATACTACGAAATAATGTAATTTGCAGTATAGTCAATGTATGCACCTTCACAAGTGTAATGCATTAAAAACTCAACATCAAGACCCTGCTTTGGACATCTGTCTTTTAAAAATAGTTAAGTAGGAGGTGATTTGTCACAACTGTGTTGTGACATAATATCTGCGATTCTTGTGTGTGTGTGACAAAGCCACGGGCACTACTCTTCCGACTGTAATTAGTTGCTTATATTTATAGGTGAAGGATATGCTAAATTTCAGTTAGAGGTTAGTGATTTTAAAGCTATAATTTTTTAAATCTTTTCTCATCCAAGTTAACTGGTCCCCAAATTAATCTCAGCAAAAATGCTTAACACGGTGCCCGTCACATGGAAAGCCCCTCTTCCACAATGCAGTTATTAGTAATTTTATTGTTACTTTTTTTGCACCTGCTGAAATTTCTTTTAGGTGACACAGTGGAGTTGATAACATGAAGTGCTGCGTTGGAACAAAGACAAATTGAGTTCAGCCCATCGACTCACAGGTATGTTAACCTAAAAGTAAAAGGCCAAAATGAAAGTCAACAAGTATTTATTTGAGCTCAATAAGAATTGCTATTTTGGACGCACCAGTTCAGGCAGAAGCCCAAATAGTGTTCTTGTTAGGAGACCAAGGCAAGGGGTGTGTATGAGAAAGGGAAGGGGAACAATTACTGATATAGTAATAGAAGGAAGGCATTGCTCTTGGTGCAGGTGAGCTAACATAGGGATGTTTATTCCCTACAGTGCTTTTAATTTCCAGTCCAGTAATCATTAGTCCAGTTGTCATTAGATCTGCTTTCTCGTCATCTTTGCAAACAGTTCTTTGGGGCCCACTGTTGGTTCGGAACCAGACCAAAGGGTGTGTTGTCCTGTTTTAACGTCCAAAGCTTTGAGACATAAGTTGTCCAAGTAAGTTGCAAAACAACTCCATTTTGAAGTGGCTCCGTTTGTATTATTTGTACATTCTCCCCCACTTTTGAGTAAGATTTTTCCTTGAAAGCCTCACTGATCAATTATTGGAAAGCAGCACTCAGCAGTTATTAAAGCAGCATTAGTTCCCCATTGGCAGATGACTTACTTTGGACAAATCATGACATTGTAGGTCTCTTGTCACCAGGAAGTCTCATTCGTGGTGGGTCATGTCCCATGTAGGAGGAAAAGTGGGTTTTTAGGAGGCTGAGCCCACATTTGATCAACAAGAGGCCAGAACAGAGCAAGGCTAGACTCACATTTCTTTAAGGGCAGGAATGTGTCTTCTGCATTTTCTTTCTTTTCTTGTCTTTTCTTTTGTTTGCTTGTTTCTTCTGTAGTTTCTGGAAATTTCTCATGAAGTCTCATAGACCTTAGTGATTACCTAAAAAATGTTGAGTAACCATTAACAGAGGGGTGTCTTTCTAACACTGAGCTGTGCAGAACGAACAAAAATTTGTAAGAGTAAAGTTTTCTGTAATAGTAAAATGCTAAGTGCAAGTTGAAAAATAGATTTGAACCAGAAGGCAATATCTAAGGGCAGTCAATTGAAGATTTATCTTTACAGTTAGAACTAAGGAGGAAAAGAAAACAACTATTGCAGCAAGTGGCCTCTCATGTTATCTGTAAGATAGGAAGGAATTAAAGCAAGAGTAAAAAAGAAAAATGAATGTATCGATCATACAGGCCCGCTCCAGAATCTTGGGTTAGCTGTCCACAACAGATATTATCTCCTTTATTTCCTAGCAATTTTAATTTCAACCCCCCGTTGGCTGATCGGTCCAGTTAGGAGATGTTCGTTATTTTTCTACAAGCTTAGTGCTCACTTGGCGATTTTTAACAGCAAGGGAAAAAATCTAATTTTTCTGTTATCTTCTGGATGCATTAGGATGAAGTTTCTGCTTTGAACAATTACTAGGTGAAGTCAAGGGCTGCCAAGCAAGGCAGGGAAAATGTCAGTGCCCTGGCACTTGGTGACTTGAGTCTTTGGGTCACTGCAGGACCCGCGACTCGGGTTTCGGAGAAGGGGGTGGAGCAGGCAGGTTACTCAGCACAGCACCCATCGCCCTGTACAATATCACAGTCCATCTTCACGGTTACCGACAGCCGGGGATTTTCCAGGGAGAAGGACCTGAAATCAACGTAGTGGCAGGCAGAACCCCGCATTTTAAAGAATCAGAATCTCAAATAGCATAATGCAGGACACGTGGAAGAGTGGGTGCTGATGTAAGCAACCCTTGTCCCTGAAACCTGTGTACTTCTGGGTGCAGAAGTAAACTAAACTTCCAGCTGGTCCTGGCCAGAGAAGTGTGGAAGCCACCGGGCCAGGCGGTCTGAGTGCTGCCCCGCCCGGACGTGCAGTTTGCCTGGACGCCGCGGGGCTGAGCGAAGCAGGTGGTTAGGCGGTGAGGGAGCGGTTTCACGCTGTCATTGCTCTTCCAGAACAGTTTGACCTTTGATAGTCGGTAACTACTGTAAATAAAACTTTACTAATGCTATAGATGAAAAGTTGCGTGCGCCGTGGTTTCCAAGCAAGCACCTTACTATTTTTTTTCTATTTTGTGAGAGTGATTAAAAAAAAAAAAAAAAAAAAAAAGCGCCCGAACAGGGACTTGAACCCTGGACCCTCAGATTAAAAGTCTGATGCTCTACCGACTGAGCTATCCGGGCTCACGCGAGTTTAGCCTCTCATATCAACTATATTTAAGTTAATACGAAGTGGGAGGAGCAAGTCAATTTAGAAGATTTTTCTGTGATTTTTGTTCAGAGTTAGTCCTTCACAAAGTGCTCGTTAGTACCAATAAGCATAGAAACTCAGCCACAAGGAGAGTTTTCTTTAACACCGATGTCAATCCTATTACATGATGATAATGTCGCCCAAGGCTGTAGACTGTAGCATGTGTACAGATACTGTACGTAGTGCGCATAAACACACACTGGAGCGCATGGACTTCGGTGCGGCCGAGATCGCTGGCCTTCGGTCCCTACGCTTTCCGGAGAAATCGCTGGACCACCCCACACTCGGGCCCCAGCGGAGCACTGTCGAAAGGAAGCCGACCCGATGCTGCGCTTTAACGGCTCAGTGAAATCACCTTTTCCCGCAGCACTTTGGGCAGCTAATGAGGGACAGAGGAAACGGTTTTCTTTGGTGTTGGGCTTCAGCTGTCTTTGGAGAAAAGGGGGGGGAGAAAGAAGAAGCTTTTGAGGGAGAGCTCTCCTCTCGTCTTCTCGGGCGGGTTTCCGGCGTCTCCGGGTTCAGCACTGACAAGGGTCCAATGGCCGCAAGGTCTCCTCCACGTGGAATTCCGATAAATATCCCACCAACCATTTCAAGGTGTTTCTGACTAAATAAAAGAGAATTTAACATTCAGAAGGCCTTAGAATTGTGGAAAGGAAAAGGTGGATTTAAAAAGTTGGGGAGAAGAGTAAAAGAGCTGCCTGCAAGGTGGGGGATGTAGCTCAGTGGTAGAGCGCATGCTTCGCATGTATGAGGCCCCGGGTTCGATCCCCGGCATCTCCAGCTCCCTTTTGTCCCTCCATAATCAGAAGTTACGTTTTAAAAATGCCTGATCCTTTCGCGTTGTGCTGCCCTTCATTAGTCTGGTGCAGTGTTTTATTAGCGTCTATGTATAGAACTCCCTACGGAGAGAAGGGAATTAGATTGCTTTAAAGTATTTGGGGATGTCTTTACCTGACACGAAATTGAAAGAGAAAATGAAGAGCCGACGAGGGGCGACCTGGAGAACGGCCCGGATCATTACATTCGCGGCCACCGTGGGGGTCCAGCTGGCCCTTGGGACAGCAGTCATCTCACCTCGAGAGCACAGAGAGACAAAGAAGCTTGTTGTTACCCTGTGGCTGCTGCGTCGCAGCCCGACAACGCAGGACAAGCGGAGGGAAGAGGAGAAGCTCGGCTCGGTGCGGTCGCGGAGAAGCGAAGTCACGGCCGCGGCGTCCTTTACTGAGGCTCCGACAACACCGTTGTCGTCCGGCCGGTTAGCTCAGTTGGTTAGAGCGTGGTGCTAATAACGCCAAGGTCGCGGGTTCGATCCCCGTACGGGCCAGCCATCCTTTTGCTTTCTTTCTGCACATCCCCAGGGCGGATCGCTCGCAGCGTCCGCACCGCAGAGAAGCCGCGGTCGCCTCGGCGGCTGCTAAATTCACCAGGAGGAAGAAGAGGGTCTGCAGGCCGGTGCCTGACGCTGCGCCCGAAATCCTGCGGCGCGGGCTCTCTTAGCGAGTGGAACGAGGGCCCGAGCGAGCGGACGGGACTCTGTGTCCCCGGTGCTAGTGAAGCGCTTCCTGCGGCGTGGTCGCCAGAGTCCCAGCTTGAGCCTTTCTCCAGGGTGTACCTGGCCCCCTGTCACCGACCTGGCCCTCTGTTCTGTCGTTTCCCGGTGCGACGCCTGTCCAGTCGGCCTCATTTTCCACCCAAACACTTTCAGCGCCTGATTGTGTGTCCGTCTCCTGGTTCTCGGGCAGCCCATGACCGAGTAATCACTCCTTCACAGCTTCGTGTCCGCTGAGTGAACTTTACCGATTTCCACCGTTTTCCGTGAGAAATGCGGAGACCGAGTCAAGGGATCCACGTGGATTCGGGAATGGAAACGAGGCCGGGTCAGCCTCGCACTTACAGCTTCAGGGGCCTCGCTGC